CCCACACATGTTTTTAACAAGGTTTGCAAAACAATGTGTTGTGTGCCCGAATGCTTAGTGAGTCCATATTCTTTTCGAATTGCTTTTCTGCAGTCTGCCCATCATCCCTCTGGTTCCCAACGCAGTCACAAATCGAGCACAGGCCAACAGTCGCGGTACGGGCCCACCCCATGTCCGACTAACGGCGCCTGTAGCCGTTCGTACTCCCGCAACTCCAACTCTTGCGCCAACTCTAGAATCACGGCACAGTCCCGACAGATGGCACGCCACAACGTCCAGAGCCCACGCTCCAGATCCTACCAAAGTTACAGGTCGAGGTCACGGTCAGTGTCAAGGTCAATGTCACGGTCGAGGTCGAGGTCGGGGTCTAGGTCGAAATTGGGCTCAAGGTCCAAATTGAGGCAAACATTTAGGAATTCGCGGTCAAGGTCGAATCTGGGACAGAGTTTAAAGTCGAAACGAAGGTCGAGGCAGACATCAAGGTCGAGGTCCCGGTCAACACTGAAATCCAGATCCAGTTCAAGAACTACTTCAAGGCAGAGATCTTCCAACTTGTCAAACAGCAATTCGTCCTTTAATCCCCATCGCTCCAACTCCGCTGCGCCGCCCCCTTCTGTTTGGTGGGGCTTGGGCGCCGGGCGAGGCGGAGCAAAACGCCAGCCATCCACATCGCGATCCAGGTCCAGAGAAAAGTCACGGTCAAAGCAGAGGTCAGAGTCGAGCACTTCCCTCGGCGCTGCAAGTCGTGCCTACTCTGACCACAACGCCGAGTTATCGTCCAACCCGTCGCGGTTCGCCGTGAGAAGTCATCCCCACAGCGCGCACAGCATGAGCAGCGTCTCCAGCGTGGTCACCGAGCCCCGGAAAGTGGTCAGAGAATACAGCAGGATCACCGAGTTCGGCAAGACGAGTCACAGGCATGACAAACGCGATAGAAAACACAGACGTAAGGATAGAGGAGAAAGGAGCTCAGAAAAGGGAAGGTCTAAAACTAAAGATTCTACTCTCACGTGCTCCCTCATGTAAGAAGAACCTCTCATCCTTTTTTTAAAAGGTCTTTTGTTTCCTTAAATCTTGTAACATGACATCGATCATTTGAAGCGGATTTGCCCATTTGAAATAATAGCGTGTCTGTTTTGTTGACCACACGAAGAGTTTAGGAAAATATAGAGAGGTTTGCAGTTTCAAAACAGGGAGAACAGAGCTGTGTGTGCGTAAAAAAACGTTGAACAGTAGTTCATGTCCTAGAGAAAAGAAAAGAACAAAAAGAGCAAAAAGTGCCGTACAGCTCTTTGGGCATGCCATTTAGAAATATATTTTTTTTCTTTTTAGTAGTTTATGATAAACCTGCTATGAATAATATTATTCTCTAGGGTATATTTTTCCCGAGTTTATGATCTACAGATATTTTTTTTGCAAAATAAAAAACGTAAATAGATTACGTAAAGAAAAAAAACCGCACGAAAATTGTTTGATGAATATTCAATGTTGAAATACGCCATCCAGAAGTGACACATAATTAATTTTGTCAATGTAAACATCAGTCTAATGTGTTTTTAATTTTTTAAAATAATAAATGTGTAAAAATTACGGCGTAGGCGAGCAAACCCAATGCAGCATTTTCCCGTAACATCACAAGTTCCTTGTGGAAAGGAATACAAGCAGCTTTCTTTCTGCCCTTCTATTTCTTATTCTAAATAAAAGGTAAACACAAATAGATTCTGTTGAATACAAACTTGATGACTTATGGCTCCATTTTTCGAAAATTCAACAAGTTTGGGGTTGTTTTTTTTCTTTTTTGTCCCCCTCTACTTACATTTAATTTGGCTTCTTTGATACTGTCCTTCATTTGAATTTTCTTTTGTGATATTTTCAGCTGAGTTTGTTTTTGGTTGCTGTTTTTTTTCTTTCAAATAATCATCTCGACGGGTTTTGCATTGTTCTGTTCTTTTCTATAGGAAGGCCTCTAACCTTCGGCTTTTATATTACCCGTTTGTGTTGTGAGTGCCGTAAAGCTCTTACTATAACTAAAAACGAAAACTAATATAATTGTTCCGTCCTTGTGTGTGTATGTATGTATGTATGTATGTATGTATGTATGTATGTATGTATGTATGTATGTGTGTGTGTGTGCGCGCGCGGGGGTGTGTGTGCGTGTGTGTATGTGTTTGTATGATATGAGCTTGTTGAGTGTATATGTGTATGTGTGTTTGTCTGTATGCGTGAAATATGCTTGTGTTGTGCATGATTGTGTGCCTGTGTGGGGTGAGGATGTCCGTGCTTGCGTATATGTGTATGTACTATGTTTGTGTATGTACTATGTGTGTGTGTGTTTGTTTGAGTGTATGTACTACTACTACTACTACTACTACTACTACTACTACTACTACTACTACTACTACTACTACTACTACTACAACTACTACTACTGCTGCTGCTGCTGCTGCTGCTACTGCTACTGCTACTGCTACTACTACTACTACTACTACTACTACTACTACTACTACTACTACTACTACTACTACTACGAAGAAGAAGAAGAAGAAGAAGAAGAAGAAGAAGAAGAAGAAGAAGAAGAAGAAGAAGAAGAAGAAGAAGAAGAAGAAGAAGAAGAAGAAGAAGAAGAAGAAGAAGAAGAAGAAGAAGAAGAAGAAGAAGAAGAAGAAGAAGAAGAAGAAGAAGAAGAAGAAGAAGAAGAAGAAGAAGAACAACAACAACAACAACAACAACAACAACAACAACAACAACAACAACAACAACAACAACAACAACATCATAGGATATTTTCGGGGGGATTTGAGGAAACCTGAAAAAGGGAAAAGGGGGGGGGGGGGGAGATTCCAATAGTTGTGATATACAAAATGTACTTGCAAATCTTGTTCAAACTATTAAAACCGGACGTTTACTTTTCTTAATGTCTCAATATTCATTGGTCAAAATTGAGCGGATGGAAGAAAACCTTCTCTGATGGAAATGGGCTGTGTTGTGGTTTCAAGAGACACGGCACACATACTTTGACGGCCACATTTCACCAGGAACAGTAGGAGCAGAAGAGAAACAGCCACTGTCCAGTCACTGAAGTCAATGTTATTGGAGTCTTTGGTGTAAGTAACGGTAAAGCGTTGCGAGAAGATCCGAATTCGATGCTCGGATGGGGAGAATATTATTTTATCGATCATCTCGAACTTTCTACTGGGATTTTGCATCCTTTTCAGCCCGGTTCAGCCTTGGCCTTAACAGGCAGGGTCGAAGCCCGCCTTCTAAATGATCGAAATTGAGTCGATGGAAACGCATAAACATCTATATTAAAGCACAAAAGTACACATTAGTGTTTGTGCTGTACGGTCAACAGCTTGGGCAATGAGACTACTTGTAGTACAAGTAGTAACACATGTCACCAATGTGCGCCAGAAATGCCGTTTGCAGGGAGCGCAAAGAAAAAAACAACCCTATGCCCTGCAGTCTGTTGTGCTGTAATGCCTTTAAGGAACAGATTCTTTTTTGAAATTTACACCGGCATCGACACAATTTAGATCTATTAGGGGGTGGGCTTCGGCTTAGACCCTGCCTGTCAAGGCCAACCCAGGATGAGAGTGATACAGTAATTTACTTCCCAGTAGAAAGAGCGAGATACTAGATAAAAATTATCCCCAAACGGGAATCGAACTCTGGTCTTCAGCATGCAATGGCAAAGCGCCTAACCGCTATACCACAGACGCCGGGGGAACAGATCAGAGAGGCAGTAACACCGAAACGAAATACACGGGGAAGACCACAACAAAGAGTCTACAAACTACCGGCAATTGGTAGAGAGACGAAACGAAAATTAACTTTCAAGGGGGCTATGCGTCTATATAAGAATCCAGGAAGGAAATCTAGTGGAGCACCTGAGTACATGCTGTATTAGAGTTAGTAGAACATTCAGCATGGGAGCATCCGCCGATATCTTTCTCGTTCACAATTAGAATAAAAGGAACCCCCCCCCCCCCCACCCCCAAAAAATTTAAAAATTAAGTTCAATCAAAATAAAAAGAATAGAAGAAAATAAAATATAATCAAATTTAAAAGATAATAAAAACCTGAAAGCATCGTCGTCTGAAGAAAGCCAAGAGTGTTTAGACAATTTTTTAGGCAAAAATGTCAAAAACAAACATTTTAAATAAAATTAAACAGACACCCCCGACCAAAATTGAGGCATTTAAATTCAAATGACATTCCACTATAACATTCCGCCTTGTTGTAGATTTACTACAACAAATATTCTTGATGTTCCTTCTTTCAAGTGTTTTTTGTTTTCATACTAGATCTATGCCTTTAAAAAAACATTCTTCTCAAAAGCGATTTCGGTGAGCAGTTGTCGGGTGCACTGGTGTGGTTTGCTCCTTCTTTCCTTTTAAATTCAAACGTCTATCGTCCTTATCCCCCCCCCCCCCCCCCCTCCTTCTATTTTTCTATTTTGTGTTTGTTACTCTCTGGAATTACTTGTAACACCTCTAATCTGCGGCACTTATATGACCCTATTGTGTTGCAAGTGCCGTAAAACACTAAAACAAAACGGGTAGTGCTTTGTTCTGTAGTACGACACAAGTCATTATTTTGCTGTGTTTTTGGGTTTTTTAATCATATAGTTTCTGTAAAAGCTTTACGGCATTTGCAACAAAATTAGATCATATGATAAATGCCAAATATAAAGACTGGGAGTAACATGAAGAAAAGAATGAGGAGAGATCATGAGAGCGAAAAATGTTTGATATCGTGAAAGCAAACGAGCCAACCACACAAGAGCACCTGCCAACCACCCATGTAGTCATTATGGAGGCGGGGTGTCCTGAGCCTGTCTGTCGGGCACAGTCCGGGTGGAGCAGATGCTGCTGGTGGGACCTGATACAGCATCATAACTTTTGAGTAAAGAGAAGCACTTCGACACAATAATGGCCTTTTTATTTTTGTTTTAGTAAGGTTTTACGGCGCTCACAACTTCATAAGGTCATATGAGCACAAAGGGGTGGAAGTAAAAAGAGAAGTCCAAACGGCGAATCAGGCTTACTCTGCTCACCTCTCTAGCCTCAACAACACAAAGTCTGCTTCGACTAGCAAGGCACTCCGGAAATAGCAGTTCACAAGAGAGTGACAAACATACAAAAGAAGTAGAGGAAAAATGACGATAGTAAGGATGAGGAGAGAAAAAGCAGCAGTTCCCCTATGTTGTTTCGGCATAGTATGAGCATGACATTGATAAATCAGCCCATTTACAATTCTACTGTGCATAAGAACATGTTAATATCACCCCTTTGGGAAGTAAAAAAATAAAGACTAGGGAGTAACATACAAAGAAAAGAATGAGGAGAGATGAGAGCGAAAAATGTTTGATATCGTGTTAGCAAACGAGCCAACCACACAAGAGCACCTGCCAACCACCCACGTAGTCATTATGGAGGCGGGGTGCCCCGAGCCTGTCTGTCGGGCAGTCCGGGTGGAGCAGATGCTGCTGGTGGGACCTGATACAGCATCATAACTTTTGAGTAAAGAGAAGCACATCGAAACAATAATGGCCTTTTTGAGCTGGGAAAAGCTGGGACAGCCATACAGACAGACAGAACAGAAGGAAAGTAAAGAAGTAAGATCTTCCAGCGGCATCCTCCAACCACCTGCTAACATCACAAAGTTTTGCCTGATTTAAGTAAGAGTTTTATGGCACTTGCAACACGTACAGGTCATATGTGCTGATGATTAGACGTATTACTAGGAAGTATCACACAAAGAAATGAAGGAGGAGAGATAAGATTTAAGAACGATAGTTGATGGACAGGAAGGAAAGAGAAAACTACACGAGAGCACCCACACATCATAAAAACAATCAACCGAATGAACAACGGTCTAGAGAAAAAAATTAAACACAGAAAAAAACAACATATAAAATATAGAAAACAAAACAAGAGAATATTCTCCATTTTTTTGGCTTTGTTTATTGTTTTGTTCTTTTTTTTCCAAAAGAAAGACATATACTTAGACAATTTTAAGGCATTGAGTATTCAATCTGCAATAGGAAAAAAATGGCTTTCTGTATTTTTGCCTGTATAATAAGTTAGATAAACTCAAGCTCCAGCTTGACAGTTTGATTAAAGAAACCAGATAAACCCACAGTGACTGAAAGCTTTGAAAGGCGACTTAGAATCAAAATCACACAATTCATCGGGTTAAGTATTCCATTTGCAAAACAAGAACACAAAAAGACTCATTGAGATGATCAACAGGGTATAATACCTGTCAGAATTAGACTGCAAAAATGACAAGGTATGACAATGCTAAAGAAGACGCCAATGAGGACAATTTGAATGAAAACAAGGACAATGAAGATGCCCCAAAATGACAGTGATGATGATTATGATAATGATGATGATGACAACAGTTGTGAAATTAACATCATGAAAAAGATGATAAGTGAGACAACAATGACCATAACACTGATGGACATAAACACACACACACACACACAGAGTCATAAAATAAGGGACAGAAAATACTGATTATTGCTTGAATTGGGGCAATGATGTAAAGAAGAATACTTTTTAAGTTCAAAATATGACATAAAAAAAGAAACACAGACAAGTCTTGTAAGTATTCTCACTTTCCTCCCTCTCACTAATTCTTTTTATTCTTTCTTTAATTAAAAAAAATAAAATTCCATCCATTATATGAAATAACCAGGGAAAATGATGTTAACTTTTCAGTATTAAAAGATGAAATCGGAAAATTGGGGATGTTGTACATCACAACATATCACTTTAACTTCATAAAACAAGGTGGAGCATTCCCGTCTATGTTAATTACACTGCGACTGAAGATTTAGTAGAACTTTCAGGGTTCAAAATTTAGTACAGGTAAGCTGAGAAATTTCATTCCAGACAGAGAGACAACACGGAAATCATAGACTCAGTAGTATCCTGTGCAGAGTAGTCTGCAAGATAAGAACTGCTTACTGTCCGTGACAGAAACTCCCAACCTTTCAGTTTCAGCCCATATCTATTAAGGGATAACGCAAACCAGGAAATTTGAAACAAACAAAAAACCATAATAAGGAAATAAGTCACACTCCCAGGCCATGGGAAATCTCCCTTGTGGTATCTTTGCAGGCAGGCTTTGTTTTCAGAAGGCGGTTTACAAGTAAAAGTGCAGATGTTGGGGGGGGGGGGGGGGGGGGAATTTCACATGACTTTGATTTCGTTAGTTTTTCAGCAAACTCATGAGATTTTAACCAGCAACTTCTCTCAAAGTCCTCAAATCGCTTAACTTCAATAGTCATACCTAATTGAAAATACTTTCAGTGCCCATGGCTGTAGTCATACCCAGGAAGTAGAAAGAATTACTTTGACATAATAATGATTATATTTAACTCGGGGAAGAGTAAAGGAAAGAAAGACCCATCACTAGCGCTCTTCAGCCACCTGCCAACTGAGTATGCATGTAAAAACTAATCAAGTGTGCAACTGGGTGTGGCAAGTTTAAAGGAAACATAGCATAATAAACAATAATTTGGGTCAAATCCTAATGTTTATAAGTATCAGTGCAACATTAAGAATAGGTTGTAACATTAAGAAGAGGTAACAAAGGTCCAAAGAGGTGGATAACTTTTTGAAGGCACATCATGTGACCACCAGTGTGACAAAAAGTGCAAAAGAACTATCGGAACAGTTCACCAAGTGCAAGTACACACCGATGTCCTTGGTCTTTAAAAAAATAGTAATGTGAGATCCAGCAAGGAAACTGGTTCTGAAATAAAAATCATAAAGACAAACACCTAAAACATGAATTATAACTCAAAATGCCCAGAACCTTTTCATGAGGGTTTCTCCTCAGTTGAATAACAAAACCAACCCCCCCAGAAGAAACAAATATAGCATATCAAAACATAAATGATTTCTACAATACAAAAGTGTTTGTATATTTATACTTAAATGGTAAACCAGTTATAAATCAATAAAATGACATAGACTTCCAGATAGAAACAGTAGAACTGTGACCATCACCAACACGCTTAGCTGAGCCAGGATCCTATGTCATCCTAACTAGATTGTACAACATGACAAAAATTTAGTGTTTAAATATCTACCAACACCAGACCTAACTGAGAGGAGGTCAAATTCACAAGGGGAACAAAGAACAAAATTTTAAGTTATGAGCAACCAAATAAAATTTGAGCAAACTATTATATGTACAGGAGTTGGCTTACAGAATTTCCTGATTGCTAGTAGAAAAACCAGAAAGGTGACTGATAAAGATATACAGTCAGCCATTCACTACCAATTCAAGATTCTTTTCTGAAGAGTAGAGGTGTTCCCATGGGTTTTTTCCCTTCTTTTTATGCAGTGTTTTTTAATGCCCCGATCAACAAAATTTAGACAATTCAGGAGCAGGGTTTCAAACCCAGCCAGTCAGGGCTAACCCGAGCTGAGAGGGACGCAATATCCCAGCAGAAAAAACAAGATACTCAATAAAAAATTCTCTCCACTCTGGAATTGAACTTGGGTCTCCTGTGTGCCACAGCAAAGAAACTATCCAGTCAGGGTCAACCTGAGCTGAGAGGAATGCAGCATCCCAACAGAAAAACCAAGATATTCAAGAAAAAATTATCTCCACTCTGGGCTCGAACTTGGGTCTCCTGTGTGCAATAGCAAAGGGCCTAACCAATATCCCACAGATGGCAATGTGCTAAGATGGGTGAATGAATCAATTAGGTGAACAGTTAATTGAGAAACACATAAATCGTAGAAATATGACAACTCCTCACTCAAGGCTAAACACTTACAATACAAAGGTCCGCTGCTGTCTCTGGATAAGACGTGACTGCATCGTCATGAACCGGGATATGAAAAAAGCTGGAAAGTAAAGTTGATAACACTTCGCTTCTGGGTCCATATTCCTAGAAATGAATGCACTTTTAAATTCAAACGTCTATCGTCCTTATCCCCCCCTCCTTCTATTTTTCTATTTTGTGTTTGTTACTCTCTGGAATTACTTGTAACACCTCTAATCTGCGGCACTTACAGGCAGAGCTGAGCAGATGAGATGCAAAGTGCTAAAAGAAAATTTCGTTATCATCTCTTTTCCACCCCAAGCCTTTCAGTCATTAATCTTTTACTAATTAAAAAATCCTTATTCAGATTTATTAAAGATCTTGACATTCACTTCCCATTCTCCTTGTTAATCCATCTCATCTTTCTGTATCTGGAGTCAATAAACTGACTATGTGCATCTTTTCACTCGGGTTACATAGAAAATGAGCAACGTAGAAAGGAAGTGGGGAAAAAAAGACAAAAAAAGTAAACATGAGTGGAATGCATTGAAACCTACAAATAAATATCTGAGGAAAGCATTGGGGAAAAAAATATTAACAAAAATTTCTCAGTTTAAATTATCATTATATTGGCTAATTGCTTATAGAACTGGTCTACGGCTCATATCTAGTACAAGAATTGTACTCATCATCAAATGGCACAGCTGACGCTCAGTAGACAGTCACAATACCCCCCCCCCCCCAAAAAAGAATAAAAACAACAAAAAAAGAATATTGTATAGAAGGTGATATTTATAGCTGCGTATAAGTGGCATCAACAAATTTGCTGTTATGCTACTGCTTTTCAAATATCATTAGTAGCCTCCATACAAGATAACTATTAGCATTGGATTAGATGTACGTTGCAGGTGACAAGGGGCCTTTGGAAGCAGAATAGGGAGACAACTCTGTAAATATTCTTGTTGTTTCCTCTGGGTGTCTATGGCACATTTTTGTGTTATGGCTACACAGCCCACAAAGACATCTAGACTGATACACACAATTCTACCACAAGTCTGCGAGAGGCTCAGGCCACTAAAATGCTGCCTCAGAATTACAAAGTTCTATTTGCTCAGTAGGCCCTACCAAGTTTAGAGAAATTCGACGTCAAAGGTGAAATTACCGTTGGTTCTACCCTTCAAAAATCATGTTGCTAGGGGGCAGGATGACCTCAGTTTAACTAAAGCTACACCCGATGACGATTCAAGGGCCTTTAAATCTCAGTGACAAGTCTAAAGTTGCCCAAATGGTATCAGTGAATAACATTTTTAATTTACTGGGAATCATGGGAACAACTTTTTCTACAGTACAGAACTGACAAGAAACACAGTTGTGTCACAATTGTTCGGTGAATGAACCCCTTTACAAGTAAAAAAAAAAGATTTTGTTAAATAGCCACCTGTGCTCAAAACATGTGTGCTGAAGTTCAGAAGTAGCTAGACAGTCAACGCAACGTCTTCACGTTTCAGTTTCAAAACGCAAAACCTCACATGTAGATTCTCAAGTCTGAAGCATACAAAAAGCATTTAAATATAAAAAGGCAAGAATTGCAAATGCACATCATTCATACAGCTTTCCTTTCTGAATTTTTAAGTCCAAATCAAATGACATAATAGGGAGACATAACACACACATGTATGTGAGTACAAATGCTCTCTTTCTCTCTCTCTCTCTCTCTCACGCACACATACACACACACACACACACACACACACACACACACACACACACACACACACACACAAAGACAAACACACAATAAAAATATACTCAGGACAAAAATAGAATTCCCTGTACTTTTGTTACATACATGTATATATACAAAAAAATATACCAATAATACCAATGACTGAGTGTGTGCAGAAATAGAGACATTGCATACAAAAACACCCAGTTCCGACAAGGCAAGTCAAATAGTCAGGTTGACTTATGACAAATGTAACTGTGTCTTTTAAACATTTTTGTAATAGACTGATGGTGTTGTTTGAAGGAATACAAGTTAGACGAACAGGCCCTTGCATTAATAACTCTGTCTCTGTAAGAAAGAAAACCACTCAAAGTGTTACCCTTTGCAAACAATAAGTTCTGTTACTTTCATATATGTGAAATATGTACTTTCGATTTTCTCATAAAACTTGACTGTGATTGTGAACAGCCACTGCAACAGTATTTTATAGAACATAGACAGTATTATTTGATAGACATACTTTGTTTCATAACATTATGTTAATAACTATTAATAAATCCTTTCTTTAAAGTATCCTCAGACATTATTTTCCAGAACAAGTTCTTACCCCATTATCTCATTTCAAATAGTCTGTGGAATTCAAACATAATTTTTTACCATTTCAAAGAGTTCACAGCATTTTTTATAGGCTTTCTTTTCACTTAAGAAGAGGAACAAAAAAGCTTGTAAATAATATTAAATCTCATGGAAACCTTTGAGACAAATAGAATTATAGTCTTTGAAAGTTTGACTCGTTAAAGTCAAACAAAAGGAAAGGAGGTGCCATTTCCGTTGCTGAATGCTCACAGAATGTGATGCAGTACGGTGCTCTCTGTGTGCGAATCCAAACACATCATCAACAATTTTGTGCAATTTACTTTCACGGTGAATAATGCCAATTTCACATTACAGCAGACCTGTCACTTTTGCACCAAGTGCATTGATAAGGTCTCTCACTCAGGCCCTACAATGGACAAGAAGAACTTCACTCAAGTCAGACAAAGAGCTATGAATTTTCCCTTTCTGGCCCTGAGACAGAGACTTTATCAAATTACTGTACAAGCTTTTTCTCTTCAGGCTTGACCAAGAATAGCAGGTTGTTTCATTCTACGTATGAACTTTGCTGAGCAAAAATCACAAAAATTCTGTTGTGGAAAATCTATTGATATGACATTGTCGCTTTGGTTTAGGTGAAGGAACATTTTCACTGGCCAAGGAAACAATTTGTTTATCATAAAAGGCATAACATACATGAAGAAATGTATGACTTTTAAAAAATCAGATCTCTCTACCCTCACAATATCATAAGGCACTGTGGACTGTGTGCACAGACTGAGGGCATGAGGTACTGATCACACAACAATTTATTGCAATTTCAAAGAGCTTATTATCCTCATCAAGTGCTTGTATCACAAATACAACAACGTTCATCACAGAGAATTTACAATCCAATTTGTACAAAAATAGAGCAAATTTACGATAGAAAATTCTCTTTGTAAAAAAACCCATCAATTTTCAAAATTAGTACATTTAGTAATTTAGATATTTTTTAAAGAATTCCATAAAGTAAGGCTTTTAAAGAGAGGAAGGAAAATGGCATAGTAAATAGTAACAACAATCTGAAGAAACATCAATTTCAACAAACAGTTAGTTCAAAAAGTATACCTGAAGATATATACGACACATACAAGTACCATACTTTTAACCAGTGAAACCTGCTCTAATTGCCACCTGTCCAAGACAATCACCTGTACAAACACCCACTTCACACCTCCCCCCTTGTGTTTTTTTTCTATGTTATAATCACAATGTCGAAGACATCCACTTGTCTAAGACGACCGCTTTTCTCATTGATAAATGGCAGTGATCTTGGACAATTTTTACAATATTTCTAAACGGCTTCACACAAGTCCAGAACAGCTTACAGTAAAAAGAACAAATGTTAAAACAGTAAATAGATGTCCCCTAGAGGAAATGATTTTACTCTTTACTCTTTCCATCTCCAGTAAGTGACTGATCACAGGAAGGAAACAGCCCGCCCATCTGCTTAGAGAAACTAAGTAACCCAACTTCTCATTACAATACACCAACACAAATACTGGGTACAGGATGAGCTTGAATGAAAAAATTGCATTTCAGGCTGGAAAAAGTGCTGATCAGAAACATACCTTGAACACAAGAGAAACAACAGCAGTACATTGGCTTGTTCATGAGAAGGCACAAAGCTGGGGCACACACTAGTAAAATAGTGCAAGCAGGATGAAGCTTTCCTTGAAATGTCTGGGCAAAGATCGCCTGTATATTTTCGTTGATCGGACATTCTCCCAAATGAACCATCAGAGCATTAAATTTTAAGTCTGTAGGGGCTCAACTTGTATTACTCAGATTTGAAATAGAAACCTATGTATTATTTTGACAGCCCCACTTCACAGGAGAAATGTTTTACATAAACATTCAAGATAATATGGTAAATCTGTGACAGACAGGACAGGCCAGTAGCAAGTACAAATAACTGCAGCCCTTACAAAGAGAACAGGACAACAGGCAACTCTCCCCCAATATAAGTATATTGGCAAAGAACAGACTGTAACTATTCTAAGAAGCTGAAGCAATAGCCCCTCATATAACAGTCTCAACAGAAAAAGCACATTTCTTCAACAAGGCACATGCCTGAAGAGAAAAGACTCACAAAGGCACCATATAAATATCTATTGCAGTCGTACATATATAGCTGTCCGACAATTCCCACTTTGTGCAGAAACACCAAACATTACAAAATCACATAACATACATACTGGTCTCGATGCATAGAATGAATATACAGATAAGAGTAAATAAGAAAACCTAATGTGAAAATACAAAACTAAATCAAGCATTCTACTGTGAAAAAAAGTGGGAACACCTGAAGCCCTTTTTAGAAAATTCTTTTAAGACAATCATCACTTTTGTTACCCACTATAAGTCTAAAATATGCTGTCAATATTCAACATTTAAACTACAAGTCCAAAACTTATAGTAAGGAACAAAAAGAAATGACTAGCATCATGAACAAATACATCTAAAAAAAAGTATATCATTCACATTACAAATAAACATCAAGAAATCTCAGAATCTGTGTGCATGTGGAAACTCTGTGCCAGTAAGTCATTTGTCATGGCAAACAATCTCGCAATGGTGTTGAGGTGGTGAAGAAAGTTCTGTTCTTACATGGATCATTAATTATTATAGGCACTAGCAACATCTTAGCTGTGACCACATTATATACAATGTAACATGAGGCCAAAAAAATGGCAACCTGAAAGCATAAGACATAATGGTCATTTTCAGTCTCAGGTATAATTAGTAACAGTTTAAGAAAAACTAGGTAAAGACAGGTCAATAAGTGTCTAAATGAGTAAGCTGTCTAGTGTTGCACCTTGTGTCCATGACTAATGTATACTGTACACTATTTTTTTCTTCTACATTTTTTAAAGAGAGTTTTGTCCATTTCAATTTTCACGAACATTTGGAATTCACGAGTCACTCAATGTCATGTTTGTATTCGGGAACCAATGCAAAATTTTTGCAAACAACATTGACATGAAATCGAAGATTTCATAAAAGTAACAAATTCAAATACAGTGCACCCACCCCCCTCCTCAAAAACTAAACAAAACCCAAAGCTAAAAATAAGTATACAGTACATTTCAAACTGCAGATTGAGCCTGCATAAGGGGTCCCTTGGATCACAGCATAAACAGAGCTATCCTCTTGGGTATTAGTATTAGACAATAATTAAGTATTTAAAAAACTCACAGAATCACGTTGATGAGTTTTAAGTAAGTGGAACTCAAAATTTAATGCAGCTTTCAGAGAACACCCAAAATTGTTTTTACAGCCATACAAGTTTTAAAAAAATACTTCTTTCAACTTCATTTCAACTGACATTGAATTATCATCCCACTGAAGAAACATATCACCAAAAACATTTCTGTCAAAAGGACAGTAAGTGCTGAGAGGGAGGGTCAAAATGGTGATTAAAATTAAGAAATGAAGAATAAGTAGTCCTGTCCTCTTACATTTGTTTTGGTTGGTAACTCGGTATAATCACATGACATCTAATACAGTTACAGTCGTCTCATCCTATATACAATGTGCTTTGACAAGATCATGGGTTGGCTCTAAATGTGCAGCACATGCTTACGGCAATCAGGGAAAATCAAGAAAATTACCACTGTTACTTGCCTTGGTTCTCCAATAAATTGTCGCTTCTTTTCTTTACTCGAATAATGTAAAGATAACCAAACATCCCACATGTTGATTGCATGTGTATGCTCTTTTCAAAATGCCTCAGTAAATTTTACTCATTCATTTTAGATTTTTTATTGGAAATGAACAGGCTTAACTTTCCTAAGAAGTCAAACCTAGAAGGCAAAAGATGCTTATAGCTTACCAAACTGTACGAAAACGAATCTGAGACTAGCATTTTACATGACCAATAAGGGAGACATCTTTTACAGACAACGACACAAAAATTCTAACGTTTTCACAATATATAACTGTGCATGTGTGCCGCAGTCACGGCACATCAGGTGAATGTTAAGCATAGGTAAAAAATACTGGCACCATTTCCATTTTCTTGGGGAGGGGGTGGAGAGGGACAAACAGTGATGAAGCTAATTTTAACAGGCAGATCCGTAGCTTCAAATATCTGGCTGTCTACACTTGCCCTCTTACAATTCATGTGACCTGACATGCTATCTTCCAGTATAGCCAATAACTTTTGGACAAAAATATGCAAAGCATAGATCTGATGAGGTGGTCAGAAACAAATAAAATAACAGATATAATTTTCTAACCTTAATTTCAAATAAAGAAGTGTTAGAAAACTACACAATACAAAAAAACTATAAGTAGCGTATAAAGCAAGCACCAAACCATTAAAAATTTTTGAAGAGGTCTTAACTAACAATTAGGACTCTTAGGGACTACACCCCAAGAGGCAATATATATAGACAAAAATGATTCAGCCAGCCTCCCATACTTTTCTAAAAAAATCTTTGCACATATGACCAAAGTGAACATATACGAATAGCATCTTCCAGCTTTTCTATCTGCAAGAGTACTTCTGGTTGCATAGTATTACAGACTGACATTACAAGACAGAATGAAAGATATTGCAGTGGGAAGAACAGAGAGCTGATATTGCGACTGCTTACAACTCCTCTCCTGCATGCGTCATATATTTTTATGTCGGCATTTAAAAATAGTCAAGCCACTCAAAAGAAATCTGAAAATTTAAATCGACCACCACGGGTGGAAGCCTTTCTAAGGTGGTGGGTGAGGGAGGGTTGTACGATGATTGAGACTTAACATTATTGTCAACAGATGACAGTCCAAAACAAAACCTAATGCAAACATTGCAGGTCTATTGAAAATAAATTCTGACACTGACAAAAATCTTTTCAAATTAATGGAAACCTGGTAAAATTGCAAGCACACAAGATGAAAGCAAACAAGCTCAAAATCAAAGAGTTATAGTGCTTTATGTAGCCGTAAAAAAATCTTTTACCAACACTAACAATAGCACCAAGACATTTTAAAATTTGGTGACGAACAAGGTGGTGCGGACACATGGAACACAAACCGTGACTAAAACTTGATAACTTCACTGGGTGTCGTGCGAGGGAGGCAGTCCAATAATTTTCCAAAAGCACCTCAATGGTCATGAACATGTCAGATAACAGTGGGACAACAACAGCCACACTACGTAAAAATCAAGTGAGGGATTTCCGCCTCAGCATTTGCATGGCTGGCTTGAGGTACTGCTGCAAGTCGACGATACTCAGCGGATACCTAGAGATCATGTCTTCAAATGGAAACTTGTCACTGTTGTCTTGTGGAGAACCAAAATCGACCTGGAAAAACAACCACAAAATCTAGCTTAACGAAATTTCATTAACAGATCTCTTTCATTGAGATTTTTCAAAACAGATTTTTTTACAACTATAACAAACATTTAATAAAAAGTTTGCATTTTCTTTATTCCATACATTATAAACTACTTAATATTAGTACAGTTATTAAAATTGAAACCATTTAGACAATATTCACAACGGTAAATCTTTTCACATAAATGAGCGCACTCTTAATTCTTTCCATGCCAGAGGGGTTTTCATGCCCATTGTGTTGTAACTATGACAGGTTCAACTTGGTCATGGGATCAGTTATCAGACTTACTTAATCAAGTATTTCTATACAAAAACAAAGAAGAAAGAGCAAAATACTAAATGAGGGTGTTAGATATACACTCTAGCACACACATAATGAAATCAGCAGGGCTCGGAAATGTTTTTGTTACGTAATAATTTCATTATGTACGTGTTTTAATATAAAGAATATGCATGTATATGAAATCCGAATGTGTTTCTCTATGTGCTCACACTATACACAATGGGTCTAAGGCCTTGAAGTGGAGATAATACTTCATTTCATATCCAGTATAGATTTTAGATAAGCACAGGCACAGAACTGAATAGTGGACTGGTTCAGAAAAAGTACATGAAACCACAGATGATCAGAGAGTTAAACATTTCTCATGAGTTCTTTAAAAAGCTAAAACCCTTCTGATCTAGAGGGTTGTATCCATGGAAAAAAATAATTTTTCTTTTTACATGTACTGCTGTTACTTTAATCTGGCTGAAAAGTCCACCTTAATGTTTAAGGTGTCATCTCACCTTTCATAGAAAAATAAAGGGCCTAGAGGTGAAGACGACATACAAATGAAAATACAAAGGAAAGTTTGTTTTAGTAAGAGTTTAACAGCACTTGCAACATAAATAAGGTGATATACAGGCTGAAGTATAGAGGTGTTACAGAGAGTAACAAATACAAAAAAGAAGGAGGAACGATCAGGACGATAGATGTTCGACAGGAAAGAAGGGGCAAATAAGACCAGAGAACCCTCCAACCATCCACACATTAACGTTTGTGATGTCATTTCACCTTCCAAAAAAATAATGGGACTGGAGGTGAAGATGACAGAAAAATAACAATAAAAAGGAAAATTTAAAACAGACCTGCATTAAGTACGTGACAATGGAGTAGACCTTGTTATCTTGTCGAGCTGGTTCAATAATCCATCCACTGGGATGAAACTGCAATAAAGAGACAATGTCCTCAAGTTTAGTGAGTTTTAGTAAGAGTATTACAGCCCTTGCAACACAATAAGGTCATATAAGTGCCGAACATGAGAGGTGTTACAAGAGAGTAACAAACACAAAAAAGAAGGAGGGGAGATAAAGACGATAGATGTTTGATAGGAAAGAAGCATCAAACCACACCAGAGCACCCGCCAACCATCCACTTCTAGAGAGTAGCATACAAAGAAAAGAAGGAGAAGAGAAAGGGACTATAGATGTTGGATTGACAAGAGGGAGCAAACTACATCAGAGCACCCACCAACCACCCGCACCCACAAACACATTAGAATAGCATTTCTTAAAATTAATTTGTTTTATCTGTTTGAGAAAAGAGCAGCACATGGACAGAATAACGGTCATTTAATGAAGGAAAAAAGTAAGTCAGGCAAACAGTAACACACAGGAACAGTAAAGAAGCAAGACCTACCAATGGTGCACTCCAACAGTCCTCCAATAAGTTATGATAATAATAACAAATAGAATTTGTATGAGGCACATCCCCACTCAACAACGAGCTTTATGTGCTTTATAGTCTAATTTATAACTCCAGCAGTCCGTAGAACACTCAGAAACATTCTCAGCTTCTCGGGAAGCATACAGTGAAAGCATCTGATCAAGCACTCAAGCACTCTAACACAAACTATAGGAAAAAAACAAAGAAACAAGAGGAGCAGACCACACTACACACACAGCCAACCGGCCAGCGGCCAACAAAGGGGGACAAACACTGACCCTGGCCCTCAGGGTGCCGGGCTGTGGAGGACTCTTGTCATGCTCGATGCTCGAATACGTGAGAATGTACTTGTCACCCTCCTGCCTCTCACCCTGCAGTACACACATATCACAGCTGCTCTTCATTAGAAACTGCTGGCTCTCGTGATAAAAATACACTGTCAATGAAACAAACAAAAATGCAGACACGATTAATTTGGTGTTAATAAGAGTTCTACAGCACTTGCAACACAATAAGGTGATATAAGTGCCAAAGATTAGAGAAGTTACAAGAGAGTAACAAACACAAAAAAGGAGGGGGAGAGGTCAGAGATGTTTAAAATGAAAAGAAGGAGCAAACCACACCAGGACACCCGCCAACTACTCGGATAGACAAGTTTGAGTTTGAGTAAAGAGAAGCACATCACTGGCCTGCCAACCCATCCATGACCAAAAATAGGAGTTTCCTCTCTGAGTCCTCCCTAAAAATCAGTTTAGGTTTAAAAAAAAACCCAGAGTCTTCAGCACGCAAGTAAATTCCAATTAAAATTAAATAAAATACCAATCGTGGCAAATAAAAATTAGATTTGGAAAGAGTTTTATGGCACTTGCAACACAATAAGGTCATATAAATGCCGAAGATTAGAGGTGTTAAAAGAGAGTAACAAACACAAAATAGAAGGAGGGGAGAAAAGGATAACAGATGTTTGATAGGAAAGAAGGAGTAAACCACACCAGAGACCCGCCAACCACCCACTAAATAAAAGTTAAATGCAAATACAAGCAAATAAACACAAGTAAGAACATACATTTTCATGTCATTTACTAAAATTGCACAAATGTTACAAATAATCATGTGCATTTTCACATCATTTACCATAATTTAAGTGCAACTGATTGACGAAGAATTCAAGAAATAAATTGTGAGGCAGCTTGGTGGAATCAGGATCTCGTCAATTTTTGGGCATGTAGAGTTATTGGTATCATCTTAAAGCTTGTTCACTTGTCTTTTTTTGGATTAAAAATATATCCCTTTATCTTGAATACAAGTTGAGATATTTGCGAAAGAAGGAGGTGGGGGTCACCTGTTTTCAGAGGTAAAATTAGTGAGAAAATCACCGCAAAAGATTAGTTATTTCCTTAGCTTAAGAGTTCGTGGTAACTGAAAATTTACTTTTTTTGTGCCTTTAATCAATGTTTTTCAGAAAAATCCACACAGAAATGAGTTCTTTAATGGGCATGAAAGGTGTTGAGCCAAAAAACAAAAATTTCATAAAAATTCACAAACCTGTGGAAAAATGCAAGTTTCTTCAATTTGATTATTTTGACGAGAGCCTGATTCCACCACGCTGCCTCACAATTGGGTTTTATGTAACTCTGATTGGAGTTCTTCCATTAGCAAAAAAAAAATCATAGAGCTCTGATTTTATCAGAGTAATTGGCAGGTGTGACATTGACACAGTAACGATCATATTGTGCAGGGCAAAAAGCAAGACAGATTCACAGAAATAACAGAGGGAAAGAAAAAAAGAATTTTCGTTTTTTGGCTCAACACTTTTCATGCCCATTAAAAAACACATTTTGGTGTGGATTTTTACTGAAAAACGTTGATCAACGGCACAAAAAAATGTAAATTTTCTGTTTCTACGGACTCTCAAGCTAAGGAAATAACTAATCTTTGGCAGCCATTTTCTTACTAATTTTATCTCTGAAACAAGGTGATTCCCCCCTCCTTCATTCACAAATACCTCGACTTATATTCAAGATAAATGGATTTTTTTTCCATCAGAAGCAAGACAAATGAACAAGCTTAAGCATTTTACCAATAACTCTTGAAGCCCAAAAATTGATGAGAGCCTAATTCCACCACATCTTGACACACAAGATTACTGATATCAATATCATTACTATCATTAAATATTCTTAAAGCTTTTTGAAACGTGACTATTTAGAAAAAAAAAGAAAAACATAAAGAATGGAACTGAACAACTGTTCAACAGGAAACAAGAGGGTCATTTCTGGCCAGAGACATTTCCAAAACTTGACATTACAATAAACGGAAGAAATCAACAACACAATTATACACTCACCGATTTTGAGAGTACTGTTGACTGATTCTAAGATGTCCACTTTCTGAGGAAGACATACAAAATACCCATGGTAACAAATGAGCAGCAGGTCTCGGTTCAGACAAAACACACTTTTGTCACAGTATGCCCACTTCTCAACACCAGGTCTCTTTGGAGTTTGAGTAAAGAGATGTTACTTCTCGGATTTGAGCCCTATAGAAATATATATATCACTCTTATAGGTGAAGTTTTTACGTTTTTTAAGTATGAAATAATGAAAGAAATGTTATACTTAAAGAATATGGCATCAATAGAAAATCTACAAATTTGATCCTTGTGTCGATTGTTGGCCAATATCTCCGTTGGTGGATTGCGAGAAGTAACTCATTTTGCCAGCACACCTCACATTTAGTACTGTTAAAAACTAACACAACAGACAGAAGCAAAAGAGGGAAAGTAAACAAGTAGGACAATCCAATGGTGCCCTCCAACCACCTGCAGACCTATTTTGGCCCGTAACAGAGTAACAATACTGTAAGAGCAACAGATACAGCATATAGGATAATCAGACTCTGACCAAAAATAGTGCAACGGAACACAATATCATAACTATATACGAACACCTGTCAACTAAATACCCATATGCAACCAAATAAGACTACAGCAATACCTATATGCATCATTTATAAAGTCGGAAAGAAAAATCATGTTCTTCCTGCATTTTCAAACAAACCAACTGGGAATGTACTCCCTAGAATTCTTCAGCACATCTTTATAGTTCAGAAATGCCTTTGATCACAATAAACTTGCAAACTTGCGTCTATAATGCAGTAGATGCATAGTAAACAATCATCATGTGAAAATAGGTATCTTGTGCTATTTCAAGTGAAATTCATCTCATGACAGTCCAAGGAACTTTAATTTCCACATAATGTTGAGCTGTGATAAGTTTGCAACAACAAAAAATTGATATATAAAAAAAATATCAATTTAGTGAATTCAGTAAACCCGAAAATATAACGAAAATACAGTCAAAATATAGTATGGATGAAATCAGCCTGGTCAGAATGGTGCATTCGCAATACATTAATAATGATATATCCTGCTCACCTTGAGGGTATCATCATATGTGAACCGAGTCCGTGGATTTTTTACTGCATCCCAAACTGTCTTTGGGGGAGCCAGGACAAAGCCTTTGCCAATGTAGCTGTGAAAGCAGGAGGAGGAGAGAATGATCACATGTTATGTTTAGTAGTAGGTGTTTTACGGAAGAGAGTAACAAACACTAAAAAGAAGGCGAGATAATGAAGATTGATAGGTAGGGAGTATTCCACACCAAAACACCCGCCAACCACCCAAATACAACACATCATTCCTCAAGAGCCGTAGCAATGATGGCCATAGAGTCGAAACTGTCAAGGACGGCCACCTATTGTTGATAAGAAAAGTTGTTAGCTAAGACAGGTGGACATCTTACACAGTGTCAAAGTCATTATAATGTAAACAGCCGTTTGCACAGGTGATTTTCTTATAGAGGTAGCCATAAGAACAGGTTCGACTTTTTTTCAGTAGGGACAGATTAGGGCAAATGTAAAACTGAAAAACAAGCAGAAGGTGCAAACCACATACAGGCACCCACCAACCACCCATGTCAGAGATGACTTCATGGCTCAAACATCTACATGAGCTTCACACTACCAATGAGATTGGTGAATTCTTAATGGCAACCCACACCCAACTAGCCACAACAGGTTGAGATGACAGATCTAACTAAAGAATCGACCTCAAGACAGATATTTACACTTGACGGTAAGATGCACTTCTCTCAGACACATTTGAGGATGACAACATCAAGGAACATATATATACAAATTAAAACAACAAAAAAAAAAAGCATTTTCCAGAGTCCAGAGAAAACGAGACAAACAACACCACTAAACAAATGCAAGAGAAAACATCAAAGTATCAAATTTTAAAGCGTGCATGTTCCTACATGCACAAGGACATCTAAAGATTTTTTTTTTTTTAAACTTTGCTGAGCTCTGGGTATAAGTTCATCTGTATTAAGGAGTTCACTGCCTTTAGATCATTTCAAAACATTTTAAACTAAAACACCTGTACAAATTTACCTTTGGACTGCTGACCCAGGAGATTGCATTTTCTTTAACACAACAATGTTTTTTTCAAAGGAAGAAAATCTGAAATTGAAACAACAGGAACATTGGAATAATACCTTGCAATACCAGCCAGAGCGGCTGTGACTGGCCCCCCCAAAAAAAGCCAATCAAGGGAATTGAGAATCCTGTTGCGAGTGCTCATATTTAGCAAAAGAAAGAAAACGTACAACACCAAAGGGGGAATTTCTCAGCAAGCACACACATTTTTTAAAATGTTTTCTTCTGAAGCAAGACAGGGGCTGCTCAGATCACATGATCTACAAAAGCTGTTTGAAGCCAACTGTTGCCTTCAAAATCACTAAAAATGTATTTTTTAAATTTTAGTACACTACTCACAACTTTGTCTGGCCATTAATTTAAGTTAAAATTGATGCACATTTAAACATATTAGATCTACAAGCAATCTATAATGTTATATGTATCATTTTGAATGTATAAAAATCTTTCAGGAAAATATATCAGGGCGAAAAAAATCTGATATTTTTCAAAATCAATCTATTCTAAGCCATTATTGTGAAAGATTCTCTAAGGCGCTGTGAATATTTGCAAGCTTTTGAGACAAAACAAAAGAATACTGTTAAATCATCCATTTGACCAAAGAAAAAAAAATACACAGTCAGAAATCTTTGAACAACTCGAGAAGAGAAATGAACACAAGTTCAGAAAACATTTCATGCAAAAAAGAGACAAACCTCGTGCTTCAAAACAAGGTCTGATTCAAACCAGACAAACATGCGAAATTCAAACTATGGCTTTGAATGTAACAACAACAAAATCAGATATCTGTTTTGAAAACAAGACAGAAAGGTAGATTAAAAAATTTAATAGAAAAGAAACTGTATCTACAACTAGATAAAACAACCAAACAAAACAAGACTAAAGGGAACAACTAGATCAGGACTATAACACAGGAGTCAGTAATCACTTCTTGAAAAGATATTTTTGTGAGCAGAGCTGCCAACTTTTCAATACCCCAAAACCAGATTCTATCCATGCAGTAGGCCAAGATTGTGGCACTGGTCAAGTAACCATCCTCCAAACTCAGCTCGGACACTTTTCTTCATTCAATAAATTCAAGTTATTCAAAGCAGACTATCAAAACAAGTCTCTCCAATTCACACACATATATATATATATATATATATATATATATATATATATATATATATATATATATATATTAGCAATGACCACGAAAAACCTTTTTTTGTCAGAAAATGTTTGCAAAAAGGTGCATTTTGTAGCTCTATCTCCACAGAGAATGGAACTTTTTGAATTTTTGAAATCCATCAATAAACAAAAAAGTTACGAATTTTTTTATCAATTAATTTTTGGTACACTTTTATATAATGAAAAAAACCCAAAATATGGGACGTTCTTTGGTGAGTCTTGAGACAATATTCGTCATAACTCGCTCATTTCTCGGAGTATTTAAATGAAACTTGGCAACCCAGTACATTTTCTAGTGCAGAATCTAGTCCTGCTTTCAGATTTTTCATAGCTATCCTACTTTTTGAGTTATGAAGACGTTTATAGGTAAAAATGTGGCAGTTTTCGGTGCGTTTTGAGACAGTATTTGTCATAGCTCGCCTATTTCTTGGAGTATGTAAATTAAACTTGGCAGTCTAGTACAGTTTTTGATGCAGAATCTAGTCATGCTGTCAGATTTTTAATATCTATCATACTTTTGAGTTGTAAAGACATTAACAGGTAAAAAAGTGGCGTTCTTTACAGATTTACAAAGATTATCAGTCATATCTTCTCCCAAAGTCATGATATTTAAATGAAACTTGGCAACATAAAAGGTTCCTCCTTGCCAAGCAATGATCTGGATCAATTTGTCACAAAAATGTAAGTAGAGAATTGGATTTATTAGTCTAATAAATCCAGTCTCTCTACTAGTAAAAGCATGCATACTTTGTTATAGAAAATAAGATCGTCTCTATGTATATCCATTGTTGGTCAGTGTCCTATTGTGTGGTAGATTAAGATGCGTTTAGATAATATAGTTTACAAGTCATGGGAATATTTCGCACGTGTAGGCTACAACTCATACTATAAATGTAACATATTATTTACACCCCCCCCCCCCCCCTTCTCTCTCTCTCTCTCTCTCACGCACACACACACACATGCACGCGCGCGCACTCACGCACGCGTGAACGATAACAATGTATAAACGGGACTATCTTCCCAGACTGGACTGAATAAGTACCGTACTCTTTAATAACAATTTTAATGCCTCACTTTTCCAAACAGAGCACAGGACGAGTCCAAGTGTGTGCTTTTCCATAGGCTTTCATAACGCAAACACAATGCCATACCACTTCTCAAAAAGTTTGCTTTTCTGTTTCTATTATTCTGTCATGCAATCAAGGAAATAAAAATGACTACATCTATTGTATTGTGACTAAAATGCAACAAAAACGCAAGTTATCAAGGCCCCCGTTTAGTTTTCAAGTATCCTTCCCCCCCCTTTCCATTTCACATAAGCGGGGCCTCGTTTGTAGCGCCCAAGGCGACCGATGGCTGATGACGTCACTCAGTGGAAATTTCCAGGTCGCCAGTCCTTCACCCAGCACGCGCAAATGGCAATGTCGCTTTTTCCCTTAGTTACTCCCACATTTTTAAAGATTACGCCAAAACTGCTAAACACAGAAGCATGAAATTTTAAGGGAATAAAGAAAAATGGTGTACAACGTATCAGTCAGTTTGACAAATCACAGCTCCGAAAAACCTTCAAAGCGCGCCACATCAACCACTTTCGCAAACGTTTTCGACTGCTTCTAGGATGGGTACAATGTTGTCAAACTGCATACTATGAGATTGACCTCTTTTCTGATTGGCTGCCAAGTTTCATTCATATCCATTCATGAGAAGCGGCGTGAGAGCGAGTTGAAGACAACAACCTTTGCGTTAGTGCGTCCCACGAAACACCCCCGCGGCGGGGGCCAAAAATTGGCAGAACAAAATGCGCTCGGTGGGCATTGCTATATATATATATATATATGGCTGCGTTCTCATTATCATTTGCAAATCAGGTTTTGAAGGGTCAAAATTTTTCTTCCGCTTCAGCAAGGCCTTGAGTAGAAGTACTTAGAAAAAGAGAATATGTACTGTGCGAAATGGAAATGAACTTCTGTACTCAAATCCTAAAAAGCATATTAACTAAATGTATTTTACATATTGTTGGCAGCTATGCAAAAGTGTAAGTGAGTGCATGGTGAAGATAGGTCTTTGCCCAAACCATTCAACTTCTTACACTGAAGAGGAATTAAACAGCCAGAATTTTAAACCATGTAACCTGAATTTAAATAAATTCAGTGCAGCATCAATATTCTGAGAAATGAAACGCTATTCATTCCCATCCACATTCCACTGGTCATTCCATGATTATTCCAAACATTTTGTACTTAAAGCAGAGAAATGTGGACACAAACTCTCAAAAGTAGAAAAAGAAATACAATAACTTGAGACTTACAACCAACCCCCCGAAGACTCTGCTTGCTTGTCAGATGACAGCTCCAGATCAATGTTAGATGCTCGCACAGCCTGAGGAAGATTGTTGTTGACAATATTATCTGAACAAAACAACGCCCCAGTTGACACAAAAACATGTTTTGAAAGCAGACCCAACACACTGAGATGTTTGAAAGTAGTTTTTGCTAGGCTCCTGATTGACAAAGTGTGAGAGAGCCAGGCTGAAGACAAAGGACATAGTAATCAATAACCTCTTATAGCCCAGACTGGTTGACAAGTGGAAGGATCAGCAGACCATTTATATCCCCCAGCCCACAAAGGATTTATGAATAAAAAAGAAACACTACTCCCAACATATTCCTACCAAAGGCCAACCAGTCCCCAGAATGGCAATAAACCCACAGAATAAAGGCCTGACGACATTCTTCCCCCAACACAACGAAACACTCAAAATACATCATACTTCGTGTCAATTAAACTAATGGTACTTTGTAAGACTTAGAAAGTATGTCTTCCACAACACTCCCTCGTTTAACTTTCATAAAAAATTCACTACCTAATGCCTTGCTCTAAATTTCGATTTTACTGTACAGTCGAAAAAAGAAAAAGGGGGGAGCAGTGGTAAAAGAGGGAACCTCACCACCAGCCCAACATACAAAACTTAATGAAGAATAGACACGTTTGCATCAGTGAAATTAAGGCCATCACATGCAAAAGATTTTGAATTTAACTCCCAAACAAAGAAGTCTATTCAGTGAAGCACAGCTGTCTTTCTGCTGTTATGTTGTTTATTTCTCAGCCCAGGTTGACCCTGATAGGCAGGATGAAAGCATTCTGCTTCCAAGATTATGAAAATTGTGCTGATGAAAGTCTGAAACATTTACTTTAAAAAACCCACAAAAGACCAAAATATGAATTCAAAGACATACCTCGGTTCAAGCAAAAGTACAATTTGTAAGAGCTATTAGGTTTTACAATGCATCCCAGAAACTCCACAAACAAGTGAACATCAAGAACACTCCATCACCAGCACTGTAGTCTAGCATAAGAAGTAAGCTATCAGCATGCCCTAAATTTAAGTAAGCAATCAACATGCCTTAAAGGTACAAGACGTTGACATAATGAACTGATGAGTCTCCTACCTCTGCCAACAGTTCTGCTGCACACTGATTACTCAGAGTCTTATGATGAGCAACTTGTATGTCTGCAGACATGAATTGAGGAGGGAAAAAAACCAGGAGTTATACATTGTTACACTTTAATTAAAATACTTCTCTTAAATATTTTCCATATTTCACCGAGAATGAATAAAATAGTGCAAAGCAATGAGATTTACAAATGTTGCCATTCATCCACTTTACTTATGGTTAAGAATCTTTTTAAAAACCAGAAAGGGCAGGCAATATCATTTCACAGGATTGAAAACTCCTGAGTTGTCATTCCAAAGTCCCCATAAGTGCAGCTCTACAACTGCACATGACTTCAGCCATGAAGCACTATATGATATGGGCATAATGATCTTTTCAACACAGAAAAGTTAATTAAGGCACACTAATAGTGATGAAAAATAACAAAATACAACCAATAAAGTCGATGAAAAGTTTTTAAAAAACCAAACTGACCTTCTTCTGACACATTGGCTTCATTTTCCATCTGACTAGCAGCTTCCCCCTCTCCCTCTCGATCCCTCTTCCCCTCCTCCTCCTCTCCCTGTCTGACACTCTCTTCCCCGTCATCATCCTCGTCTTGCTGATCCTCCTGCAGCTGCCTGTCTAGCTGACGACTTTGTTTGAGAGCACTCCCATCACTGACCGACCGGTGCAACAGAGATTGTTTCCGCACCGCACCATCGGTCGAGTCCTTGTTCTCTGACGTGCACAGAGGGTTGAACGCACCGGACTGCTTAGCTGGCTCCCCAGAAGCAGACCCCACACCATTAGCACCTTTGGAATTTGCCGTAGAATTCTGTGATTTATATTTCAGAATAGACGAAGATCTTTCCAACTGTGCACGACGAAAGTTTGAATTGCTCAACCTCCCGTCGTCACTGCTGTTACTAGTTGACCGTCTGTCGAGGATGAACTTCTTAAAGGAATTAAAAAGAGGTTTGTCACGGCTGAAAGACTCGTGGCGTTGACTGGAATCGCTTGACTCCGTGTCACTCTCTGAAAGATCCTGAGGTAGCGTTATGGAGAGTAATGGCGTCTTCTGAAGCCTTCGCACAGACATGTACTCCCCAAGAGAAGACAGGAGGATCGAAGCTCTCTCTTTGGAGGCCTGAGATGGGGTCTGTGACCATGTCAGAACCGACAAAAGGCACTGCTCTACATCTGAAGAAAAAGGGCAAAGGGAGCTCAACAACTGAACATAAATCAATTTCCATGACAATAGAGATAAAGCACATCCGTCTTTCTCATAACTCCTCCTTTTCTTTGAACGTTACTCTCTAATCGTAACATCTCTAATCTTTAACACTTTTATGACATAATTGTGTTGTATGCTGTAAAACTCTTATCAAAACTTTTTTTTAAAATCTTTTTTTTAAATTAAAAAAGCAACTGTGACTTCATCACAAAGAGTGATTGAAAGGAACTAAATTTTTTACGCTGCTATTGACACAGTTTTTACCATTTAGGAGGCAGTCTGCTAGGACTCTGCCATCAGGGCCAACACAGCCCAAGCAGACAGATGGAGACACTCGATAAAATAACTTTCCCCACGCGAAAATTTAACTCACATATACAGTGTGCCACGACAAAGAGCTTTAATGTTACACCACAGATGGCAGTTCACACTAAGCTCTTCTTCCAGATATAAAGCAAAGACAAAGCAATCTGCAATCAACTAACTTTAAATAGACTGAAAACAGAGCTCATCCATTACAGAAGAGCAGAAAGATATTGATCCCTAGTCTAAGTATTTCAGTACATAAGTTCAGGTGGCCCTTTTGACATTCTGAACTACGCACATCACTTATCAGTCATTTATGTACGCTGAATCCCACCCCAGACACTATATGACTGACATATTTTTACCATACCATGCAACAGATGTCCATTATCATTATGTTCATATTATTATTTTTAACTCTTAGTATAAAGAAGGTTATTCCACCTTGGAAAGAAGCCAATTTTGTAATCCAATTTTTCAACATTACAAACTTCTCTAAAACTTCGCTCCTGGTTAATCTATTTGAAAAAAATAAACACCAAACTGAAGAGAAATGAATAATCCATGTAATAAAGGTACACTTCGATTATAGATATGATGGGTTTGCGGGGGTTTTAAAGATTTTTGTTTTGACTGTTAATAACTGAGCGATGCCGTGCCCCTACTCGACTTACGCCCTGTATACTTGGTACTTAAAATGAAGATCCTTAGGAGTTCATGTAAACCTTGTTCCAATCTAAAGTCCACTGGGTGGGAAGGAGGGGTGGTTTTTGATATGCATGATCAACAACATTCTACACAGAGTAAAGCCTGAGTGGCAAAAAAGAAGTACCCTGTACAGCTGAACCTACCTTAGCAGTCACCAGTACTAACGCCCACTATTCCGTGACACCCTTGCGTATTTCCTTTATTTTAAACTGTCCATAGCAATTCAAACTCAACGTGACCATGGTCAGTCATTTTCACAACAAGCTAACCTCAGGACCTGCTCATAGCAGTCATTTACTACAGAAGTTTTCTGGCGTCCCGTTGTCAGAGTAAGTGTGCAGGGGCGAAGCGTCTATATAATCAAATAATCACTGCTTCCCTTTCTAATTTTGAAACATGGTCGCTGTCAAATTCATCCTTAAACGTAAACCTCATAATTAAATGTCAAAAGACGTTCGTAATCAACAAATAAAGTGAGGCTGGAATAGAGTTGAAGGGAACATGTGCATGGCAGTCAAAGCTGTTTCATTGCCACATATACCCTGTTCACCCCTTTGGGGCCACAGTTAAAATCAATCCCAAGCCCTGATTAAGTAAGCTAACTAACACTGGTCGAGTCTACCTCACAAATGTGAGGGGAACTAACTCTTAATAATCTCTTGACTGCTGCTTGTGCTTGTTTTTTTTCCTCGACTTTTTACCGTCCTATAATCAGATCGTGACCTCGATTATGACACCAGCTCCTGGCCGCGAAAGGCTAACAAAAACAGCCAAATGTGAAATTTAAAAAATAATAATTGTCATGTTCTACCAAAGAGTTAGACTCACTGGTAGATCTATAACATATAGATCTAGTACTGACATCTCTGCTTCTTTGCTTTATGTTTATGTATTCACATCTAAAGTTAAGTTTAATTTTAGTGGGAACTGATATTTAATAAGATACTTTCCCGATTATTTTGGCGGTTGAACATACAATATGAATTCCGGATTTGTTTTCATTCACAACTCAGAGTCGCCGCCTCGAGTAAGATTCTTGTGTGATATCTACAGGCCCTATCTGGTCCCATTTCACTTTGATTACCCTGTCAAACAAGTCAGCCTTCGCCCCTGTAAGTGTGTACTTTCAATCAATGCAAAAAAACTCTCATTATAGATAACAATTGTTTTGTTTAGTTTTAGTACAGGTTTTACGGCGCTCGCAACTGCATAAGGTCATATGAGCGCCAGAGATAACAATTGCGATGGAAATAAAATGGAAAAATTACAAAACTAAGATTTCAGATTTTAAACCATCTGTTGACTTTGTCAAGTCTAGCAAGTGACCATAAATCAGATGTTATCCATAGTGCCCACTTGACTCAAATATATGATTTTTGTCTGTAATTCTGAGGGACCATTATGGACAGGTTCCATTGTATACTGTCTGTCAGATTGTCTAAGCAAAAAAAAAAAAAAAAAGTTATATTTGTATATCCTTACAATCTCAGTGCTTACCAGACACAGGTTGGATGAGATAAAATTCACATGTCTGCAACTTTTCATTCATCTGTAGAAGCCAGCTAACTCCGTTATCTTCCCTGTGCCAAAACCTGAAACAAAACAGGGCTAGAAAATACATGTGGCTTCCATGATTGGTGGGGGTCAGGCAGAACTTATGGTCAGTATGTGACTACAGTTTCAGGGATGCCACTGGGATTTTGCTAAAATACCTGACAATTTGCGAAGTTGCATTTGCAAACAAAAAGATCACTTATTATATACAAATTACAAGGAGTTGAACAGAAAACAAAAGCAGAGAATAATAACCGTACTTCTTGTCAAAATAAAGATCCCCCTCCCCTTTGCAGTTTAGACCAGTTGAAGCACAATACCAGCACATCCTACAAAAGGATGTGCTGTTCACAGGACTGTTTCTGATTCTCACTTTTTTAGAAAGTCAAAGAAGAAGTGGATTTATCTTATTTATATAAAACTGTCCACAGTTTAAGATGGTAGTCAACTCATAATTACTGCTTATCCATGCAGCAAAAATTAACTCCACACTTACCTTTTAAACTCAACTGATGTTGTTGGAATGACATTTTCAGTAACCCACGGGTCATGGTAGCGCAGGGAAAACTTAGGCTCCAAGGGTACCAGCCTCTCCTCTTTGATGCAATCAACCTGTGGCAGAGGAATGGACTACTTCTTCTTGGCACTGTAAACTTTAAAAACATTATCCTCTTCACACGATCAATGACTACTTAACTAAATCGGTAAACGAGAAATCTAAAAAAACTACTGACTTAAATGTTTTATTCTTTGTGAGACACCACCAGCCCATTAACTTCTGCTCACTCAAGTTGAGACACAATGTCCTTAGATGTTTATGTCACATGGACTGTCATTTTTAAATTCAAATCCACTTTTACTTTTATTTGCAGATGAATGGAATTCCTTCTTGTTGCAAAAAAATTCCTAAAATACAGGAAGAGCCAAAAAATATAACTTATAAAATCTAAAACAATACAATAGTGAATTATATGGCAGTTGAAAAATACAAAAAGAACTCTCAAACTTTCATCTTTCTCACAAAAAGGGTGTGACAGTTCGCAATTCATACAGAAAATTATGCACTGGTTTTTGTTTCGCACTGCATTATTTCTATTATTCATATCAAGTAATGAAATTGGTCCAGAAGAACACATGGCTCAGAGGTGTCAACTAACAGCAAACAAAGATCCTGAAATTTTCGGATTCTGTGGAAACCTGCATGCCCTGACTCAAACTTTACAGATCATATTGGACATCAATATGTATCAAGACTATATTTATGTAAAGCGCAATATCCGGAAATTTACAGAAATCCAGATCTAGCTAGCAAAATGAACACTTTAATAGCTCTTCTCACCACATGGACTCTGCAGTACTTACCTGCACAGGCATAGATGGCAAGCCACGGCTTGAAGATGGCACTTCGTGTGACTTGAGGTTGTGAGTGTGGGATGTTGAGATCACGCCCGGCTTCCAGTCACACGACTGACTGATGTCTTTCAGCACCTGGAGTAGGGCCTGCATTCAAGGAGAAACTTGGTCAACTCTCCCATACTGTCATTTCATATGCCTTCACAATCAGCATCCTATATTCATGATCCCCGAAATTCAGAAGGAAAAGAAAGTGCTGCTTATCTAGCAAACACAAACTGCAAGTGCAAAAAACCCCCGGTTGAACCTGCTTTAACAAGCACCTGTTTGACTGTATTCCTAATTAGGTAATTATAGAGATAATAAATAAATAGTATTTGTATAGCTCATATCCCAATTCAACAGACAGCTCTATGAACTTTACCAACTATGTTATTAACCCTAAAATACCCTTGGACACTCAGAAACATTTTCGGCTTCCAAGGAAGCATATGGAAAATACCTTGCATCAGTTTAATTCAAAACAATAAGGTCCAACATAAATGGAAGAGAAGAAGCAAAACAAAAAACAAAATGCACTGAAAATGATACAAGAAAAAAAAAAAAGAAAGAAAGGCCTTCCAACATTTTCAAGCAGATGTTTGCCCCTGATTGCTAATGTCTCTTCTGGATCTGACAATCTGAGAAAACTTTTGCCTTGAAGCACATACTAGAACTTTTACAAAAAAGGAAACTTCTTTAGAACGGCAAGCACTACCAAACACACTCGTGACTCATACTGGCAGTGTTTTTTATTTTTTAAGAGAGGCATAATTGAGTAAAGAAATACAGTTTTTAGTTTAGTTTTAGTTAGAGTTTTATAGCACTTACAAAACAAACAGGTTATATAAATGCCGAGGATTAGAGGTGTTACAAGGGAGTAACAAACACAAGAAAGATGGAAAAGAGATAAGGAAAGGCCATAGACGTTTGATAGAAAAGAAGGTGCAAACCACACTACAGTACCCGCCAACCTCCCATGAAATCCAGCATCTGATTACCTCAAAGAAGACAGCAGAAACATTGTCAGCAGAGATCAGTTCTTCATTTTGAAAAAAAATAGCCAAAGAAAGTTTTAAAAAATCATTCGAAATCAAAAATGAATTTCAGCATGAGAAACTAGCAAAACACAAAACTGAACTCACAAAGTGGCTCTCAGCAGGACCTTTAGCAATTTGGCATTCTTAAGTTGTATTATACATATAGCATTCATTTTTATTTAGTCACAAATTCCCCTTAGCTAACATTATTCTCTTTTCAAAAGGGAAGGAAACAATTTGAAACTGTTTCATCATACAAACCTGAGACGATGCTCCAATTCTGTCAAAAGCTGCAAACACTTTAATTGAAGGTGCATTAATGTTGTGTGGAAATGTCAAGAAATTGAACCAGATGCGATGTCCATGTGCATAGCTGTCAATCTTCCATCCCTTCTGATTGGATATAGGGAAAGGCTGGAAAATACAAATGAATTCAGTCACCAAACTTTTCAAAACACAGGAAAAAGTAGCACAAAATAATCTTTATATGAACAGTTTAATCACAAAACATGACAGACCATTTTCAAAATCTGGCCGAAACTAGCACTGTCATATTCAGAAAGGTGAGACACATTCCATAGTCAACTTCTTTTTTTTCTCTTTAAGAATAGCAGAAAATGAAACTTATTTTTTAAAAATGCAACAAAAGCAGTACACCTTTTTTGACACACCACGACATATCCTCAGCTCACAAGTTCTTTCTTCACATCATGAGACTTTGCTTGATGTTGACTAAAATTTGTCAGCATTTCTTTCCTTTTCTCATAATAGTCACGTGGATATATTATTGGGTGACCTTATTTGGGCCACAGTGTGGCCTAAATAAGCTAAACCCCCCTCCCTTACCTTATTTAGGCCACACTGTGGCCCAAATAAGCTAAACCCCCCTCCCTTACCTTATTTAGGCCACATCATATGGTAGATTTCTTGAACTAACCATGGATTCGGAAGGTCGAAATTCTACTAATCTTTTTATTTAGTGCGGGGGATTATTTCAAAATAGAGGATGATTCTAAATAAGTGGACCAAGTGTAAGAGTTGTGTGTGTGTGTGTGTGTATGTGTTTGTTTTGTGTGTGGTTGTGGTGAGAGAGAGAGAGAGAGATCTAGAGAGAGAGAGAGTAAATGTAGTAGTGTGTTTGTATGTGTGTAATGTGTGAATGTTATTGTGTGCATGAGTGTCTATCTCAGTTGTACGGTCCAAATGTACATTATTTTGTTGAGAATTTTACATAGAACTCAACTACAAAACACCTTTATACAAAGTCACAGAAATATTCTTTTTGTGCTTATTGAGGTGCAGTACAGGGTGATTAAAACCTGCAAGGATAATTGGACAAAATGGGCAATATCTTACTAATGCTAATACTAATGGTCATATTTAGACAAATCCTATATCATTCTCTTTTTCTTAACAGCTCATGGTTATTAAAGAGTCAGCAAACTAGATCAAGGTAGTAATTTCGGATTCCTAATATTATGGGCATTCTTTAAAAAATTTAAACTTGTTTTTAGCGCTTTTTTCAACGTAAAACGGATTCCGTAAAAAAAACAACAACAACAATGACCTTATCTTTCTTTTTTAAGGTATTGTGCATACATTTGTGTGAAACTATTTTATTCTATGCTTTCAAGTACATGAAAAAAGCTAATAAAATCAAGCAAAATGTTTTTCAGAGACATAGATCTAGTAGTAAGCCCACTGGAACATTTTATAAACCGTGAAAAGATCACCAGAAAATAACAAAATTATCTTATGATTTTCACTTGCACTTGCAATTTTTTTGACAAATTATCGTCTACCTCGTTATCTTTTTTTTTTCACATATTTCTTCACTATTCATGACAACTGGCATGTTTTCCAGTTATTATCAAGGAAGTGGATAGGCGGACCACGGGGTCTATCTAGCCCCAAAAGGATAGGTGGACCGCGGGGTCTACCTAACAAAATGCTGTTTTAGGATGTGAACCCTGGAATCAGCGTAGTGAAATAAGTAGATCTAGGTTTGACTAAGGATCGGTGGACCCCGGGGTCAACATAGTGAAATAAGTAGATCTCAGTTTATTTTATAGTAAGACTGGCGGAGCCCGTGGTCAACGTAGTGAAATTATAAGTAGATCTAGGTTTAAATTAATAAGGATTGGTGGACCCCTGGGTCAACGTAGTGAAATTATAAGTAGATCTAGGTTTAATTAAGGTTTGGTGGACCCTGGGGTCAACGTAGTGAAATAAGTACATGTAGATCTAGGTTTAATTTTAAGGATTGGTGGACCCAGGAGTCAACGTAGTGAAATAGGAAGGTTTAGATTTAAGGTGGACCCCAGGGTCTACCTAACGAAATTTAATACTAGTTAGGTTTTAGAATAGGTGGACCATGCGGTCACCGTAGTAAAATAAGTAGGTTTAATCACAGTGTCCCGGGGGTCCACCAATTCTTAATTAAACCTTCTTATTCCTCTACGGCTATGGTGACTCCGGGGTCCACCAATCCTTTTAAAATTAAACCTACTTATTTCACTACGGTGACCCCGGGGTCTACTAATCTTTAAATAAATCTACTTACATGTATTTCACTACGGTGACCCCGGGGTCCACCTGTCCTAAAACCTAGTATTTTGCTAGGTAGACCCCGTTTTTAACAATATCCAGAAAATAACATAAAATGAGTATATAGATCTATATCTATACGCATTTTATTAAGTATATACTTAAAAATAAAAGACTGAGCAGAGCCTCACAATGTAAATTCTGTGCTCTACACGTAGAGAAAGTCTTAAGTTTGCGCAAAACAGATTTTAGAAAAAAAAGTTGATCTAATTATTCTAATAAAAGTAAAAGTGATTGTTATGGTGAGATTTGTTATTATTAATTCTGGAAATACAGATAGTTGCTGAATCTAAAATTAACTAGAACTGTGCAATTCGTTTTATTTCAATTCCAAAGCCCAAAGGCATAGCAATGAGTTAGATCTAGATCTAGCAGTTGTAGGCTCTCTGGCTGCTTCTAACATTTGTCTGCTACTACTGATTCTAGACAGGGAATCTAGATCTAGATCTAGCTATCACCTGCACTATTAAAGTCAAATATATGGTAAAATAAAAACAAAACTGTGAATCGCTTTGTCAGTCAGTACATCCCAATTGCCATAGCAGCACGTATTAATAGTTGAATAATTATACCGAAGCAACATGTTATCACAGTGTGCAGGGGAGAGCGGGGTGCCCTGGTCGCTGACCGGTCGATTCGGTGGTTCGGCTTTTGTAGATCTATGCATTTTTTACGGAAAGCCCTATTACTAGATCTATTAGTGTTGTGAAAACTTCAACCTCTACAGCTAAGGCGGCAAAAGATGTTGGAAAATAATAATACGTCCTGAAGTTTCATAATTTATACAGAATAATACAGCTAGTAGTTTTTATCTCATCGAGTTATAAAAATGGCCTTGTAACTTGTTTTCAGAAGCAAATTTTAATAGTTACAGTTCTACCGAATCGATTTTCACGCAAATTCAACCATTTTGATGACCATTTCTTTTCCTTTTAAAAAGATAAAGGCCTGTCGGATGTGGCAGTGCGATTAACACTAAGTTGTTTAGACCCATCAAAACACAAGGCTTCGTGGCCGATCACAAAGGTCTACGGGGCTTATCGAGGCCGATTCGCCCTGCCGCGTGCACGTTCACTAAACTGCCTACTAGATAGAATCTACTACCAAAGATTCTTCTCGATCTTTGCTACTACTACTACTACTACTACTACATCTACATGTAGGCTACTACTACTAGACAGTACGAGAGATGTACTACTACGAGACAGTACGAGAGAGTGCCACCCAGGCAAAGATAGTGTAACTTTGACTCAGCCACGTTGTGTACACACTTTTTATACCCCAAATTTGACCCGGAAGTCCATTCGGAGGATTTGACCTTTTTACTTGACCAAAGTGTGCCAAAATGGTAGCCTAGATTTTGCCCCTCCATGAAGGAAAAATCTGGCCCTCATTCAAACCATTGAGATTGAGCAAAACTTTGCGTATCGTGCTTTGTTCTTACAATATTCATTATGATATATATAAGTTGTACACTGAGACAAAACTGTACTAAATGAGAAAGGTGCACCATTATGAAAGTGGAACGAACTCAGTTGCCTTAAAAGGGTGTCCCCTGGTAGTTTGAGCATGTGTGGCCTAAATAAGCTAAACCCCCCTCCCTTACCTTATTTAGGCCATATGTGGCCCAAATAAGCACTCCCTATATTATTATGTCGCGTTTTGTCAAAAATGTGAGGAGAACTAATTGATTTAAAGGATAGAAATCAGACCTAGATTTTATCATACAACGAATATCAACTATGTCGAACATGTTTATTCTAAAAACCAAGTTGCTCGTATCAAGTGGGTGGAGAACAAAAATTATAATGTATCTCAAAAATTAAAAAAACACTGACACAAAATTCATACCCTAACATTCTTGAAAAGGTCTAAAACTTCCAAAATGCTGAAGTGGTCCCTTTTCTGAGGAGTTAAAAAAAGAATAACAAATTAGTAATAGAGGTAAAGTGGCAATATTTTCATCCTACACGAAAATTATACAATTAAATTGTTTTTGTCTAAGACAGACTGTTTAATTTTTGAAAGAAGACAAATTACAAGTGATAGCAACATTATTTATTGCCTTGAGATTTTTAAAAAAACGCTTGTTGTCAGGCAAAACAACACATTTAAGACAACTGAAACCTATAGAGTTCTAAATATACAGCTACAGCTCACTTTTTAAACCATTTTCACATCATGCCTTTTTTAAGCTTATAAGACAAAGAGGAGAATTATGTTGATATTTTGACATTTTGTACTTTTTAGTCAACTTATAAGGAGAAGATTACCATTGGTAAAAATAATTAACATTAAATGTGCCAATTTATATATGTCAATATCAAGTTTGACTCCAAACATTTGGGAATATGCACAATTAATTAGATAAAAATGAAGAAAGCATAACTGTAAAACAAAGATAAAACCATTCCCCCTCTAAAAGAAAAAAAAATCAGTGCCTATATTTCAATTTTTTAAAACTATAAAAACAATTGACCATTTTTGTTATCAGGATAAGCCTATTGCTTTTCAAACAAAGATATAAGACTGCTACTGTGTGCCAACAAATAGCAGTATGGAAAAGTATAAATTTAAAAGTAAACAAAAGAGGCAAGATAAAAGTTTGGGACCTTAACTCAAGCCTCCAACTGGCAACAAAGAAAATACAATTAAAATTAGGAGGCTTAAAAAAAAGTACATTGCATAAATACATGAACCACAACACAAACCAACATATCATTAACTTTAAATGCTATACTATACAACAGTAAACAGATCATGACATGAATAGTTTCAATACAAAAATCAAAACTACAACTCACCTTGCTGAGAACGTAAGCGTTGCCGTTTATCCATCGTAAAAGTGACAGATACTTATTTAACTTAAAGGCCACCACCACCAAAACACAGACAGCAGTGGATAAAAAAGAAAAGAACATCAGATCCATGACTTATGATATTGTGGAAGCTAATGAGGCCCAATTCATCCTTGGAGTTTCCTTCCTCTGGCGAAAAAAGACAGAATAACGAATCTCAATGTCATATTTTAAATCAAAAGTCTTTAAATAAAAAAGGCAATACGAAGACAAGTGGAAAAGTCAATCACACATCATTGCACAACGGTTAAACTAAGAACTGAATTTCAATGATATTCTAGAGAGCAAAGATTTTATATTCAACTCTACAACCTGCTCATCTGTTCTATTACTTGTTGAAGTGTAAAAATGTATATATATGCCAGCATCTGTTCGAGGAAAGACGATATTCGGCAAATTAAAACTAGCTGCCTGCCATCCTTTAGCTTTAGCATGACAAACGTAATCTAGAACTTAGGGCTTAGACTATCATGTACCGCTTTCAACCACCATTACAATCATGATTAATTGATGACAGTCTTACTGTGAATACATCTTTGAAATGTTACCAAATAGTAAAATTAAAGTTTAAAAAAATAGATTCCCATATATACTGACCCTTCCGACAAATTATTTTACAATGGCACACATTATTTGTACAAAAAAATATGCAAGAGTATAGTCAAAATATATACTCTACGACAAAAAGGTAAGGAACACCGTTAACTATGCGCATGCATTTTTCATATGTGACAATTACAATTTTATATTATACCTTTAGAAATTATCATGGGCTACATTTGAGTGAGCAGTCAGTTCAACAATGTGCATTGTAAACAACTTTGAAAACATATTGTGCTCGAATTATGAACACGAGGCACTTGCTAAAATGTGCAAGTTCACGAAAAGATTGCTTGTTTTTACATGGTGGATAAAAAAATTATACTGCCTTTTAGTTGTGTAAAGAAAACATACACGTGGTAAATCATTATATGTTGAGTGAACACTATGCCCAAACAATTACTTACTATAACAGCTCTTGCAATGAGTTGAAAATGTAATCACCAAAACAGTATGCCTATGTATGAGAAAGTTAAATTCGCATGACAGAGGAAGGGCCATTGGTTGACTCCACGATGGTGTTTCCTTGAGGGAGGTGGATCTGAGACCTGTTGTTTTGCCTCCTATAGTCAGCTGACTACAAGACCGGTACCAACAAAACGAAAGCACTGACAAACGTTGTCAGTCTGGGAGGCCCAGGTCAACCACTGCGAGTATGAGCCCATTAATCCAACGCCAGGCTGTTGCAACCTGTACAACAACAGCTGGCAGCGGCATCACTCGGCAGGGTCTCAGACAAACTACTCACACAGATGTAAGCACTCGAACTGTTACAAATCACTTGCACCGATTTGAGCTTCAATCTAGATACCCCGTTCACAGACACTGGCTCACCCAAGCCCACCAAGAAGTGAATAGAGGGTACATGATAGCATCAAGGGTGGACATGAGTAGACTGGGTTCATGTCTTCTTCCCCAATGAGTCAAGATTCCAGTTGGAGCCACATGATGGTTGCATTCAAGTACGGAGATGTCATGGATAGCGCTTTCAAGACGACTACATTGTGGAAACAGCCCTTCTGTGGCGGCATGAGGTGGGACAAGTCTTCACAATGGCCCCTCTCTAACACATTCAGGGCAATCTCAATGCCAATCACTATCGTGACAAGATTGTACAGCCTCTTGTGGTCCTGCAGCGGCGGCTGACTGGTGCTGGCGCAATCTTCCAGGACGACAACCCCAGACACATTGTGCTCATGTCATCAACAATTTCATTGCTCAAAATGGAATTAACAGACTGCCTTTGCCCACAAAGAGCCCTGATCTAAACCCAATTGTACATTATGACCAGCTAGGGTCCCGTGTTCAGGAAAATTACCCACCATCAGAAACTCTTAATCAGCTCCTTCACAATCTTCAGCAAGAGCGGAATGCTCTTCTACAAGTGTTCCTGAAAAACTTGGTAAATCTATGAACAACAGGTGCAGAGAGTGCTTGGTTAATAATGGACGTTACGATTACAGAGCCTGGTACTGAAACCATCATTTTAGGGATTTAAACATTTTTTCCAGGTACCTTTTTTCATCGTACAAATTGTTGTTGGAGTATATTTCTTACAACAATGTTTGATATTATCACATACTTCTTTAATATTAAACTATCTGTTAAAAAAAAAGGCAGATTTGTCTTTGACTCTTTTGTTCTCTTTTAATTTGCATTCATGTGTTCCCTTACTTTTTTAAAAGAGTATAATATATATCACGACGCAGTGGAATCAGGGGCTCGTCAATTTTAGTGCATGTGAAGTTAGTTGGTATCATCTGAAAGCTGATTTATTTGCCTTGGTTTCAATGGAATAAATATCCAACTATCTTGAATACACCTCAAGATATTTGCGATTGAAGGAAGTGAGGTCGCCTGGTTTCAGTGGTGAAATTAGCTAGAAAATGGCCCCCAAAGTTTGGTAACTCCAATAGGTAAAGAACCCTTGAAAACAGAAAAATGCCACGTTTTGAGCTTTTAAATCAACGTTTTTCAGTAAAATTCACATGGAAATATTTTAATATTTTTATACCGAAATAAAAAAGGTTGAGCCCAAAAATAAAAATTCAATAAAAATGACCAAACTCTCTGAAAAATGCGTTTCTCCAATTCCTGTATTTTGACGAGCGCCTGATTTCACCAACCTGCCTCAAATATATTATATTACATCACCATGGGCAATGTATAAAAATTCCTGGTTGGCACTCTGCGGCACCCTTGATTTTGAGCTAGGATTATCATATCTTGAGGGGACACACCCTTGTGACCATCCGCCAAAACATTTTGTCAGACAAACTTGATTCTTCAATCTTGTGAGCCTGGTCTCATTAACAACTCGGCCGTTGGAGCCCCCTACAATTACTTTGGGGATTCCCATTTGCTTTTATCTGTGCAGCTTTGAACCTTGTTGGACACTCACACTTTTCAAAAGCGGAATTAGAAATCAATGGCTCAACTCTGGAATACAGATCATGATTATGTGTATCAAATTATACATACTGAGACCAACAACAACACAATAGTCAAGATCTCTGATGAGGGGAGACACACCTTTAAATTTAAAGCAACAAAACTGTTGAGTTAGTAGTAAGACAGAGAAAGACCTAGACCTTAGTAGATCTCTAGAATCTTGACATCGATTTTTATGTTGAAGTGATTATTTCTCTGAATGCTCAGGAAAATAAACCTGATCTCTATTTCTCCGAACGGTTTCTGTTCTCGAGATTTTTTGGTTATTAGCGCGAGTTCGGCATCATCTTTCATTCTGCTATTCTGCGAGGACAGGGAAGAAGCATTTATTGCATCGAATTCAATTTCTAGAGCTAGAGATTTTTAAATGTCTGAATATTCAGATACAGTACTCTCCACCTAAGATCACATCGCTTACGATCCCGGTTCCCAAAGATCTCGCTGTTTTAAGAAAACAGAATTTTTACTATACAAAAGTCACCCCTAACATCCCGCTCTGATTCAGTCTGAAGGTCTACATTCGGCTAAGATCCCGCATTTCAGATCATAATTTGCGGAATAAAAACGCGGGCGGGACAGCCGATCAATCAAGAGTGAAAAGTTGAGATCAATATACTGTCGGTCGCGTCAAAGATCAGCCACTATCATGAATGTGATCACATACGTAAACTCGATGAAGCGATACAATATTTGCCCCAGATGGGATCACACTGGGGTGTGAAATGACCGACACATTTGTTTTCCCTGAACATCGCACTCACACCTGAGCTCTCCCCCTTAACTTACATCACTCGCTGGGTGGGTAGGGCCTATATATGTTCACTCCAGGCGGGATCACATTGAACTGTAAACTCTTCCCTGAGCTGACCAGACCATTGCAGAAGTTGTCTCTACTCCCGAATTTGCGAGACAGACTGAATTGTAATAGGGGTGTTCACAACGTAATGGTTTGTGTAACGACAAAGGCGGGGGAGGGGGGAGCCTCGGTCAGATATGGAAATCTATAATTTTCGACAGGTAAAAGGGAGAGGCAACTGGATAAGCGTGGATCTTGAGACTCATGATAGAATAATAAGTGAAAATGGCGCACCTCATCCCGCTATGCACTGTGATAGGTCATCAAGGTTAACCACTCTTTGCTCTCCATACTATACGTCATAAACCCACCAAGAGTCTGTTCATTTTAGAGTGGAGGGAGACCAATTTACCGATTGTGAGCCTTAGCACGGGTCAACATACATTCTTCCCGGGGTTCGTCGATTAAGATCCCGGTTCACCTATGACCCCGCATTTCCTTGCTCCCGAGCACTGGAATCTTAGGAGGCGGAGACTAATGTACTTCAATTGCTTTAACTTACTTTAAAATAATTGGTTGGGGCAACATTCCCGGACTATAATACTTCATTTGAAATGCCTTCAAAAGGTACTGAGAGAAAACAAGACTGCTCGACTTAGGCAGTGTGTAACCTATTTTGCATTTAGTCACCCCAAAAGCAAAGACTAAAAATAATGATAGATATCTAGATAGGAAGAGCTACGGCTAGACTGGTTGGCTAGAAGTACAGCCAGACAGCTGGGTTAGGCCCCGCGTCCACTGCGCTTTTTCGTCACTTGCAGGCCAAGCTCACATGCAAATGAGCTTGTTTTTGTCAGTCATTGACTGCCTTTGCCTGACTACGCGATTTTTCTGCATGCGCGCTTTTTCGTCAGTCGTACAGGGGACTAAGAAAGCCTCAATTCAACTCATTTTGGAAGGAAATTTGCATCTTTAAGTACATTTTTACTTCTTCATTGTACTTTACATGATCAATAAAGTTGTATCTCATTATAATATGTTGTACAATAGCAGATTTGTGCTGAAAAACAGCAAAAAAATGAAATTAAAGCACTTGACCTAGATCTACATCTAGATCTAGATTATTTCATTCTCGGGGGAGCTAAAAATAGGCCAGGTTAGACCTAGCTAGGGATGTGTCTAGATCTAGATCTACATTCTCTAATGTTTAGTGCTTCCAATTTTCCGCCAAATTTTAGTTTTCTCCAGACCTTATCTGCCGGTCCACTAGATCTAGGCCTAGATTCTAAATCTAGATCTACATCTCGATATATCATGTCGCTTTGCCTTTCCTGAAACAGTGCTGTATATGAAGCTTAATTTACCCTTCGCTGATGAAAGTTCTGACGGCTGAGTGAACAGGGTGTCTGCGTTTGAAGGTAAACATTATTTTTGTGAGCGTGGGTTCAAATCCCAGTCCCTCCTTTTTTTTTTTTTCTCCTTCTTCTCATCGTCCCAACTTACCAACAATTTTTCCCATAATTATAATTTGTTGGTTTTTAGTTTTTTAAAGTGGTAAATAAATAAATAAATCACCTGTGCTGTCTGTTGTTCTCGTAATCATAACACACTTGGCTAAAAATAGGTTTAGCTGGTCTGACGCCGGTGGACGCGGATCTTTTTGAGTCGCTTCTACACCATGCAAAAACTTCGTACAATAGCATGGCCTGGAAATGATCTTATTTTGGTGGACGCGTAGACTAAGCCGTACTTATTCTTAATAAGATACCTAGACTGAGCATTAAAAAGGCCTACTGAATTGTAATACCATAAATTTTTAGTTTGCCTTACTTAATGACAGTGCATGTACTTTAAACCTCCTGTTTTCTAATGTTAAAAGGGCCTAAGATAAGTACAGCTAGACTGGCAGGCTAAGTACGGTTAGACTTCTTGGCTAGCACAGCTAGACGGGGCTAGGCTAGCCGTACTTGGTGGCTGAATTGATGAAATTTTTAGCTTGCGAGTTGCAAAGCCTACAGTATTTGTGGTATTTTTTTTACGAATAAACCTGTCTCATGTACAGGTTTGATATACTTTTTTTCTAGTAGTATTTTGCATGCTGAACACGAATCCTTCATTTTTTGCCGCAAATCAATAATAGTTACTGAGTTATTCATGTTTGAAAACAGAACTAGGACCAGTGGCGTAGTAATATTTGACTTACTTTTAACAACAAACAGGGGGGTTTTCAGGGGGGGGGGGGGGGCCCCCCTGAATTTCACAATGATTTGATGTTTTGGCAATTAGGATTGATAGATCTACATGAAAACAATTGATTTGCAAGTGTTTTTGGCCATACACGTGTGTTCTGCAGCAAAAATCATGGCAGTATAGCCTTCATATCAGTGCATCTGTGTGTGGGTGTAAAAGTGAATATTTACCAATAATTGTTTCCTGTTAGGCCTACTTGCAACATTACGGCAAATTACGATGACAGCATGGAGCTACCTGCCTGGTGTGGTTGTTCAGGAAGCGTCAGCACACTTGACAACAACTGCGTCAGAAGTGGAATCAGCATCCGCAATCTTTATGGATTAAACAATGCAGTAAACTGGGCATAGACCCTAAGTTCATCTAGACTCTAGACCTATATATCTGCAATACTTAAACTAGACTATCTAAATCTAGATCTAGATCTAGTTCCAGAAAGTAGAACTAAGATCTAATAGCATAAAAAAAGTGCATTCGGCTTGGTCGCCTTGACCTCACGAATTCACACTACACACTACTGCACAACTGGAACTAGAGGGGCTTACCTGTTGTACAGTACTGTAGCTTCAGAAATATTTGGAGAAAGAAATGTTAAGTTTTCCAGAATAACACAGACTAATACACACATAAATTCAAAGATGAGCAAACAAACCATTAGCATAGGCGTCCAAGAAGATAGAGGTGTAACTGTTACCGTGAACTCAATCATGGGACCCAATCCGACACACAATAATAAACTATTTCACTTCCACAACAAGAGAGTTCACATTCAGGAAACGAATGTGCTCGTTCAAACCCTGCTCGGTGATTTCATCAGAATATTGCATCGAAATTAAATAATTGGACAACAAGATCGTGCTCGTTGCATGGGATTATACTATAACCTAAAAACTCTATAGAGCCTTAACTAATATCGGTTTGGTGAGCATTTAATTTAAAACGATTCAATTGAGAACCCAACAGGGGCAATTATTGGAACGAACATTTAATTTTAAGCAAGTGAATTAATCAATTGTTGTTGTTATAATTGTTGCTGTTCTTGCTCTGTGATATTGCTGCTTGCCACGGCTGCCTGCATGCTGGTACTATGGATATAAGAGGGGGGCCTACCTCCAATGGTTACTCAAAACTAATATTATGTTTATCTCTTCCAATTATATAAAATACATATTATTATCATTATAAGAATACATTATTATATATCATTTTTGCGAGGACATTTTTGTTCATCAGTTGCAATTGATGTTTTACCCCCACGATCGTCGACAAAAGTACAGGTTAAACAAGTTATTGTTCAATTTCAACGTATGTTTGAAATATAATCATACCCTCTACCAACCTGATTATATAATAATGAGGGGTATAACGTTTTTAGACAAAGTTGTCGTCATAATGTGGTGAAAATGTAATTTATCTTAAAGTCACACTACTGTTGGCTAAGCGAAAACCACTTTTTCGGTTTGAGAATTCAAAAACAGCTGTAATCATAACCTGTTAATTTCATCCAATTCAAAGTTGAATACCGGTATATAAGAAACTGCAACAGTAGCTGAGGTAATAGCGCCTACATTTAGGATTGTACGTGGGCTTTATAGGCTATCCAGCTAGTACTTCTTTTTATTGGTTGCTTTGTACCTAGTGACAACAATCGAAGCAGCAGAAAAAGACTACGCCCATGCCGTGTTCCCCGTTAAGCGTTCAAAATTCGAGAGAACCGTTGACGTAGAAAGAAATCATAGTATCTAGATCATTGATTAATAAGCCACAGTTGTCGGCAGCGCAGCAGCTCGGCGAACGAGTGATTCTTTAGTCTCACCAAAGCTCGCAACCCAAAAAGCCATTAAATCATGCCTGTGCGGTGTGGGCCTGTGTGTGTGTGTATGTATGTATGTATGTA